CGCCGGTTCTCCCCCCTTCCTGCCTCTTCACACCCTTACTCTCCCCCACCCCCCCTCCCTTTGCCGTGCCTGCAACTCCCTTCAGGTGCCAGTCGGCACCCCATCTCACCTGTACAAGCTGGTGCCATCACACAATAGCCTTACCCTCCTAACCAAAAATAGCTGTCCCCAAGCTGGGTGAGACTGGGCTGCGGGGATGGCTCTGGAGCCCGCCAGCCATCTCCTGCCCCTCACTCCCCGCTCACATAAGTGCTGTCCCTTTGCCGTGCCTGCAACTCCCTTCAGGTGCCAGTCGGCACCCCATCTCACCTGTACAAGCTGGTGCCATCACACAATAGCCTTACCCTCCTAACCAAAAATAGCTGTCCCCAAGCTGGGTGAGACTGGGCTGCGGGGATGGCTCTGGAGCCCGCCAGCCATCTCCTGCCCCTCACTCCCCGCTCACATAAGTGCTGTAGCAGCCAGAGCAGAGCAACAGCTTGTTCCTGGCTCAATGTGGGGGTCTCCCCATGGTGCATTTGTTTTCCTCACTTCCCCCTCGAATAGACATAACATTTCCCATGATTAAAACAGCCTCACTGCCTCCCTGGGGCACTACTCAGCCTTACCCCATGTCCTCACCAGGCCCCATTTTGCTGCTCGGGGCTCTGATTAGGAGTTGGGGATGCAGGAGAGGTGCGGCGAATTTCTGTCCATCCCCACAGTCGGTGCCCATGCTCTGTGTTTGGGGAGAAAGTGCCTCCCTTGTGTGGATTTGCTGCCAGGTGGGAGAGGGGAGTCCGGTCCATCCTGCGGTGCCTGTAGCGATATTTGCTCTCTGGAGATCAGGGAAGAGCCATCAGGGAGGTGCTTTCTGATCTCCTAGATCCCTTTGAAAAGGGGGAAAGGCTTGTGTATGTGAAGTAAGTGACTTTGGAGTAGCAAGTCCTTTTCCTGATGCTCTCTGCTTTCCCACTGCGGGGTGCCAGGCAGCTGGAGGTCTGGCTGTGGCAGAGCTGGCCAATGAGGTCATCTCTGACCTCAAAGCAAAGGTGGTCCCATGGCTTTAAGCGGTGGGAATGCTCCTCTTTCCTGGAGCATGGCCTGTCTGATGTCTGCCCCAGGGATGGGATGCCAGCACAGGGAGCCTGCGGATGGGCCAAACCTCCCCTCTCCCTACCCCAAACCTCTCCGTCCTGCCTGGCCCCTCTCTTTTGGGGCTCTTTGTCCTCCAGAGCAGATAAAGGGGAATGCGAGACCCTACTCTTCTCCAGACCCCTCTGATGGGCAGAGTGCTTGGTGGCCATGGCCATGGTGTGGAGGGCCTGCTGACAGAGGCGGCTGCAGAGATGAGAGCTGACTGATCATGCCACGACCCGGCGATGCCAGTGGGTTGGGATAGGGCCAAACCCTGTTGCGCCTGACCACTGGGTGGTTGTGGTGCCAGGGCAAGGCAGAGCCAGGTGCTTTGGTGTGGGACCACAGTGTCCCCTTTACCTGGGCAGCTGCTTTTGGGGTCCAAGCAACAGGGCTGTCCTTTCTCAGTCATGTCTGATGGGTTAAAAAGGGGGTTGTGCTCACCAACCCCCCAGGAGTAGCCCAGAAACTCCCAGCACTGCCACCCCTTGGTGTTCACCCCAGCACCAGTCTCTCCACCAGCACTGAAAGGCTATTGTACATCCATTGACTGCCTGCACCCAGCTCGGTCCCAGCAATGCTCTCACAGCAGGTGCCCTCAGCCCAGAGCTGAGGCTTGCCCAGCGTGGCCATTCCTGGGGCGGGACACGTGGGGTTTGCAACTGCTGGCACCTTGTCTGTCCCCTCCCAGGCCTTTACTCTGCCTTTCAGCCTTAGCAAATCGGGGTTATGGGAAGACCTGACAGTGAGCGTCGGGGTCAGAGCCTGGAAAAGACCGGAAGGAGACAGAAGGGCGCTCTGCATCCTCTGTCTTTGATGCTCGGTCATTATCCCTGGAGTTTGTATTCTGTAAAACTAGGTATATTTCTGTGCAAAAAAAAGGTATTTATTAAAAAACCCTCACTGTCTGAGTGGTGCAGGGTGGCTTTTTCCCACAGGGGGGATGTCTCACTGGGCAAAGCTGGATTTCCATCTGATGGGGGTGCTGGGGCTCAGCTCTGCGGGGTGATGGAGGCAGCTGCAGGATGATGGCACCAATACCCTCCCCGGGCACAGCTGCAGCACAGTCCCCAGTGAGGAGGGGACCATCTCTGGAGATCAGGTGTGTGCTGCTGTGCAGCTGGGAATGAACCCCACACATCTGACAGAAGCCTTTGACTTCCCTGGGCATGTGGTACAACTGTAGGTGAGAGTTGGAGGGTGTCCTGTGAGTCCCAGCCAGTTGGTTGGTGAAGTGTGGAGGGATTTCCTAAGGTCTTTGAGGGGATTTAGGTGCACAAGTTGTCTTGCTGTTTCTCTGTGTGCTCCTGAACCTCGTAGATAATCCCCTTTAAATAGCAAGACTAGGGCAGCGTGGGATTTATTTTAAGCCCTTTCAAAACCAGATTTTACGGTCAGGTCTTGGACTCTGTGCCCATTCAGAAGTGTTTAAAACTGTCATTTGTCCCAAACGGATCACTGCAGACTCCAGTGAGAGGCAGGAGAGATTAGCTCTGGCACAGCTCGGTGCTTGGATGGCTGCTGTCTCTGCTCCTGCCCAGGCTCCCACGGTGGCATGAGGACATGCTGTGGCTGGGACTTCCACGGGCAGCGGCGTTGAGGTGCCAAGAGAAGACGGGCTGAGACCTCACCTTGAAGCGTGGGTTGATTTGCCTGCAAACATCCCTGGGCTGCGTGTGCGTGGGGACGGGAGGGACCTGGTGAAGCTCCTGGGTTTGCTTCTGTCCCCCTGTTTTGTCCCTGGCAAGAGCAATCCTTTCCGCTCCGGCAAACCTCTTACCTTCGTGATCAGTGCTGGGAGAAGCGAGGCCGGGCCGGGCCCGCTGCCCCCGGGGAGGCGCCGCACTTACGAGTCGCAGCTCCTAATT